ACGCCAGTTGAAACTCCCCTGTTAGAAGGCTGCTGCTGCTTTATCGTTTATAGACTCAATTCCGACCACACTTTTCCAAGAGAAGGGGATTAAACAACGGCATTCCTGCCAAGACTTGACCCACAGATGACGCTAGCTATACTGGAATTCTGCTGTTTAAAGGCTGTTTCTGCTTCATCGTTTATATACAATTTTTTAAAAGAAGGTAGTTAATAAAGACATTTTGCCCAGATTTGACTCACAGATGATGCCAGCTGTATTAGAATTCTGTTGCTAGAAGGCTATTCTGCCAGGTATTGACCCACAGATGATGCCAGCTGCACTAGAGTTCTACTGTTTAAGATTGCTTCTACTTCATCGTTTATAGACACTTTTTTAAAAGAAGGTGGTTAAACAAAGACATTTCTGGCCATTTTTGACCCACAGATGACGCCAGTTGTACTGGAACCCTGCTGGTTGAAGGCTGCTGCTGCTTCATCGTTTATGGACTCACCTCCAACCATACTTGTCCAAAAGAAGATGGTTAAACAAAGCCATCCCCCTCGGTCATGACCCGAATCATAGCCAGCCACTTCCCCGAAAGGGCTACCTGTAGCCTCCTTTATCCTCCTATATCCTCCTCCATTCCTGTGCCCCCCTGCCTGCTGTATCCTTCTGTATCCTTTGTGTAATTGCACGTTGCGGCACGCGAAATTAAACAGAAAGATAGCTCAAGTGGGTTGGGGCTGGAGATGGGCATAGGCATGGGGATGGGGATGGGGATGGGCAGATAATGAAGCGGTTGGAGGACCGAGGAGGCGGAGACCCACAGCTCGAGGGGCTGGCTAAATGGCGAAAGAATGACAAACGCCTAGAAGGAGCAAAAGTTTGCGCTCACAGTAAAAGTTTGGGGGCTGGAGCAGTGGGGAGTGTCATATCTCTGGCGACGTCTATTGTTCCCAAAAGTGTTTTTATTTAGCTCGGCCAGCTCAGCAGCTCCTGAAGCCCCACCCACATTTACCATCTCCAGGAAGACAACCCCCCTCGAGGAGTCCTTGCCATTTGCACAGACTTTACGTTTGTTTTATTATCTTTTATTATTGCCTTTGCTGCTTTTGTCTAATTTCGCCGTTGTCTTTTTCTGGCTTCCTTGCCTCTTCGCCACCCAACCCCCTTGTTGTCGCCTCGCTTTTGCCCCCACCTACGCCCCTGGTGCTAAATTGGCCGTTAAGATGCTAAAGATGCGGATTTCGGTGATTTACCAACTTGGTCGCCCTCGTCTTCCTTCTCCCATTGTTGTTTCCCTGCCCTTGCAGAGGGTCTTATTGTTTTAACCAAGTCAGTGATGATTTTGGGGGAATACAACTCCGAAGTTGAAGATCCCGATCTGCTTATTTCTGGCTAGCTAGTTTGTATCGTCGAAGTAAAGAATTAAAATTAGCCAAATTAGAGGAAAAACAATAATAAACATCTCTTAAGTCGTTAAATTAAATCACAAACAATCAAAATGTGACCATCTCAATATCTGCTCGAAAAAGTGCAAGATGTACGGAACATTGGTATTCAGACAAAGTATTTCAGCCATTTTAAATATGGTTAAATAAATGTTTGGTTACATCGTAAAAAATTAAGAACTATTTAATCAAAAATGTAAGTCAAACATTTTTAATATAGATTAGAATAGATATCCTTGCCCAGTTTTAATAATTTGTTTTTCACAGGTAACAAACTACGAATAAAAATCAGAGGCCGTAATAATTTTAAGATATATATTTGATTATATTTAAATTTATTACCCGTTATTCCAATAATACATTTTTTGAAGTAATTTAATGAAATATTATAAATAAGTTTTATATCAAATCAAAAAAGTGTTAATAAATTACTCAAAAATAAAGATTTAACCAAAAAGTAAATGGTAATATTTTATTATCATGGTTGGAATACATAGGTTAAGCAAAGTTGATGATTTTGGTATTAATCAATTGATTCTAGGATTATTAAAAGCAAGTGTTTGACTTCGTTCCACAACATAGTTTACTAAAATTCCGGAAGAATGCCTAATCTGATCTATAATACAACATTTTTGTTGTTTCGCCACCTCTTTTGTATAGTAAGCCCCACTCAAGATATGTTTTGTTCTCGCCAAAGGGATTCTCCATCCGTTCTGTCCCCCTTTCTGCCATTTGTTGCATTGTATTTGCTTTGTTTTATTTGGCTTTGTTTCGGCTCCTTTTGGCCAAGAAGTTGTGGCGGAAATCGCGCTAATTTCGCTGCCTGCCACGCCCCCAGCCGCCTCTAAGTTTGGCCACATAACGGTAGTTTGCGGCAGGCCGAGGACAGATGGGATCGGATTGATTGCGGCCAGACGCGGAAGTGGATGCGGATTGCGGATTGCGTACTGGGTTCGATGTTTAGTGTTTGGGGGTTAAGTGGTTGGGTGGTTGGGTGGCTGGATGGTGACCAGGTGGTCCGGTGGCTAGGTGTCCTCTGCACCCTGCACTCCTCCCTCCTCTGGCCCCGATTGGCATAGGCTTCATTAGCTGCGTTTTTCTGCGGGCTGCACCCCTTTGACCCTTCTGGATGCGAACGCCATGTGACGGTGTTGATTTTCACACAACGCAGCGTGAAATTAGAAATCAACAACATGTCCTGTCACAGCCACCGCACAAATGGGTTTCGGGGATTGGGGAATAGGGAATGGGGCTTGAGGGGTCACTGGGGTCGGCGTCAGGGGTCAGGCTGGGCAGGTGTCGCTATTTGGCAAATCAGTTTCGTCTGCCTGCGCTGCAGTTTCAGTGCTCCTGCATTTGCGGTTTTCCGTCGGACGTCTGCCGCTGACAGACCAAATTAAAATGTCCCCGGCTGCAAGGACTCTCCCGCGAGGCTGCAGGATTCGGGATGGGCAGGGCGGGGTGGCCTGTCTGCGTGTCACTTAATGACCAATTTGCCAGGAAACAGGAATCAGGATCCAGGATCCAGGACTCACGAGTCGGGCGCCCACAGCTGTCGCATTTCACAATTCGCGTTTCGGCTTTCGTCTCAGTTGACTTTCGCTGCGATAAATCTTCAAGTTACAAAAATTGGCAGGCAAACAACACGACGTTCCACAAATCTTAAATGATAAGCACCACTGACAAGGACAACAGGAGCAACACACCCACAATCGCTAAGAGAATTACAACATGTCGCAGTTTGTTCTAAATTTGAATAAATTTCAAATTCGTCGGAACACCTCCTCCTCCTTCCCCCCGAACCCCACCTTCTCCTCATTCCCTGCCAAAAAAACCGACTGCGGCAAAAGTTTGCGCTCGGCTACAATTAACTTTTAAGTATGCCATTTCACAGATACCGCAGATATCGCCGCGATATAAAAAGCTATATGCAAAGCCGTGCATCCCCCGAGTGGAGCGGGGTTGAAGTTGCCAGCAGCAGTTGAGAAATAATTTCCAGCAATTTATCATGTCACAGCGAGCACAACAATGGAACTAAGCCGATGGGGGAGGAACGACCTACGGATACTCTGCCCCTTAGCTTTATAAACCAGTTCTTAACTGCAACTTGCTTAAAAAAATATTTCAAATGTAATTTGAAACAAGCAAATCTATGTGCCTATGTACAATGTGTATTTAAGAAATCAGAGCAATAACAGTTCTATTCAAAATAAATGTATTTGTTGTTATTAATAAATATAGGTTTTACTACCATTAATAAGAACAACAAAACCTTAGCAAGTTAAATTAAACTTTTGTTATTTTTCTCAAATATATAATAAACTATATTTCATCTTTTGCTACTATCATTCAATACTATACAATCGTACTTTAGTAACTAAATTAAATCCAGGAACTGTTATCATTTCTTCAAAGAAAGTTTATTATTATTAGTAATTTACCTTTTACTACCTTCTGTTTAAAGCAAATAAACCTCTGAAAATAAAATTAATTTTATAAATGTTAATTACAATGGTTATTATTTTGTCAAAACATTTCCTACTATTATTACATATGTACAAAAAATCTAAGTGAATTAAATACATCAAATAAATAACAACGGTTATCATTTTGTAAGTGGTTCTTTTTAATAAATATTAAAAATTAAAACTGTAGCTGCTGCCTGTTATTAAATAAAAGAATTTCTAATAATTAATATTTTAGTAACATTCTAATTAATGATTGAAGCTTTTACTATTAGTATTATAAAAGTAATATTAATTATTAAAAATAATTAAATACAAGAAAATCTAAGAAAATAAGATAAACTAAATATATAACCATTACAATTGTTAATATTTTATTATATGTAGTTTAAAACGTTTGCTACCATTATTAAAAACAAGAGAAATGTAAATCTTAACAAGGTTAGCAATAGGTCACTGCCTTTAAATTCAGCTTAAGGAGGTTTTCAAGTTTTCCTTTATATTAGGACGACTTTTTACTGTAGCGTATTTTAACCAAAGTGCGTGCGATTTCCGTTTCCGCTCCTCTGGCAGCCATAACGAATTTTTGCATAAATATCACAGGACGCGGGGAGGAGGACTTGGACAAAGACAGCTTGTTAATCGCCGGCCATTTATCTAGCTTAATGAAATTTGCGAGAAATCAAATCGGGTGTTCTTTTCTGCCCGCTATTAGCCACAAGCTGCAACCGATGATCCCGGCGTCTACAGTTTAGTGTCACGTGGCACGCCTCGAATGCCCTTGCCCCATCATCCCCATTCAGGACCACGTGCGCAATTAAGCTGACGCGTTCTTGACGGATTCCTTTCGAGTGGCTAGAGACCGACCGGGGAATTGGCCATCGACTCTAGAGTGGCCTTCCTCTGACTAGAATTTATCAGGACTACATTCAATGCAGTACATTGTAGGTCTGTTATTTTTGACGATCAAGGAGGCCTTTGCCATATTCAATGCTAGTTTTTTCCGATCAAGGAGGGCTTTGGAAATGATTTCCTACTTCTTCGATAGCCAGCACAAGTTGGGAGTCAGTTCAACTTCAACAGTGCCAGCATTAACATCAAAAATAAAAAGTGAACAAAAAATTGTGTGAAAAAACAAACATTTTATATAGTTTTTCAAGTGAAATAAAACTAACTTTCGGAAACCGGAGAGGTGAGTGCTCTGTACACTTTTAATGCTAGTATTTGTACACGGTCGTAAGAAAAAACATTACCCAAAACAACGATAATAATTTGATAGGGCCTAGAAAATAGTTGGTTAGAATTTCGTCTGTCTTTTGTTTACAAGCGTAGCTTTCGCCACAACATAACACCATCAGTCCGAGTTTCGCCCACCCTCATATCTTGCAATACGATCCCTTATTCTCGTATACCATTCATATAAAGTACATCAATTCGAATTGAAAAGACTGCGCGTAAATAAGTATCCCATTCACTTGGTAACAAAGAACAGAAACAATGATTAATGATATATAGGTGTAGTGGCGTCTTCGTATAAAGAACGGCAGCTTTTATTTTGATTTTGTGATTGGATACTTCATCTCGGTGCTGCTACTATATTTTCAAATGACACTCCTAATTCGGCCTACTTTGAATTTTCTTTGATCGTGACGGTCTAGGGACCAAATTCGGAAGCAGTGGGCCTATCCAATCCTATCCTACCCCAACCCATCCCATCCCATTCCATCCCATCCAATCTTCCTGCCATTGGGCTGCCCGTCTGGCCACGCGTAACCGTAACTAAACATTTGCATTAGGCGCCGTGCCGCAGAAACCGCTAAACAGGCAGCTGCCCCCGGAATGCAAACAGTTTAAATGACATCTAGCGGGGATTGGGATCGGAATCTGGTATTCGCTATTCGGGTTTTCGCCTGTCGGTTAAATAAATTTTGCGGCAAATCGCAAAATCGCCAAAAGGGCAAGCCCTGCTGCGCCATGCCGCAATTGGCAATCGACGCCACAAATCGCGTTTTAAGCCCTGCGTGCGATTAGTTTAATTGCCATCGGGGGCAGGGGGCGGTGTGTTGGTGCAACAGGACAATGCAACATTTGCATAGCGGTTGCGGTGGTCCTCGCACAAAACCAGGCACTGGCGCTTAATGCGAAAATAAGGATTAACCAATGAAATTTATAAATGCCCAGCCAGCTCCACCGGCCCACTGCAAATTGAGTGCATAAATTGGCCGCATCGTCCGTTTGTCCAGGGAACTGGGCACTGGGAACTGGGAACTGGGAACTGCGACCAGGACAGGCAATCTATTTTGGATTAAATCAAATCGAAATAAACGATTTTTAATGGCCTGGCTCCCTTGTCCGTTGTGTCTGCTCGGTGTGGCACAGTGGCAAAAACGAGGTCATTAATTATTTCTTCAAAAGCAAGAGATAAGCCCAACCAGACCGAGGCCGAGCCCCACTCCCAGAGCCCAGAGCCCAGATCCCAGATCCTGACCCCTTCGAGGGTTCGGCTCGCATCCTTTTTGGCGTTTGTGTCATTAGCTTAAAACCGTAACCAGAAAGGACGCAGGACAATGGTCAGCCGGCGCACACACACTCGCACGCATTATCCTCGACGGCGGCCGCATGTGGCACCAAAAGATTAATTAATCTTTAAGGACTCATTGTGTGGTGTTTTTGCCGCTGCGCCCACCCCACTTCACTCATTAGGACAGTCGGACAGGACATTTGCATGTGCAGCGACGCAAAATGAATTTATGGCCTGGTCAGAACGAGCGGGGATTTGTGGAAGCTGGGAAGCTGGCTCTAAATGAATCCCCGACCCGGGATCTTCCCGCTCCCCTCGCTAAGCTGAACATTTGTCACCCACACTGGGCTCCCTCCTTCCCCTTCGGCATTTATTTTGATTAGCCATCGACATCCATTTCTATTTGCTGCCTTCTTATCGTAAGCCGCCCCATCACCATCGCATCGTCATCTTGCCAGGATGACCAGCAAAGCCCTTGGCCACGAGAAGCTATTCCTGGATTACGGGGGCAGGCAACCTGGCGATGCCACACATAGTTTCGTCTGCCCCGGGAATTTCGTTTGTCAAAGTTCCACGTATAAAATATTTACAGCTGATTATTTGCGCAGGTTAATGGTTTCCGTGGTGGGAGGGTATTTTTGGACGGGGGGAATGAGGGGTCCCGGCATTAAGTGGAGCGCTAAAGTTATCCTTTGATGCGCTCGGGTCGCATTCCCTCTAATTTATTAGCTGGCACACGTGAATTATTGCTGCGTCTGAGAGTTTTCAACTCTTCGACTTTGACTGGCAACTGGGAATTGTTGTGGCCCAGCTGGGGAGGCGGGCGTTACTAGAATAGAACTAACTACCGCGAACTGCGGAGTGGGCGGGCCTTGACAGAATATTCGGCTTTAGATCTTGGGACGGGGACATCCCTAGCCACCGAACTCTCGAAAATATAATTACTTTCGGTGGTAAACTAAAATTTCGAATGCCTGACGTAAAGGTCTTTAACATCAAATGCAAAGGTTACTGAAGTTCGGCTTTGGATTTTAAGATGCTGAAATATTTCGGTATCACGTTGCCCTAAAATCTATCTGCACTTAAATCCTGCATTGGGAAAAATTGGGAAATGATATGTAGGTCTTTAAAATCAAATACATAACTGAAAGTTAGGCCGAAAGTCCCAGCGACTATGGTCAATTCATCCCTGTATCCTAAGTTTTTGTAAAAATATTTTAGTAAGTAGGAGTATTATTAAATGGTATTCCTATGACTATCAAGGCCAATCATTGCAATCACATTAAAGGGGACTACAATGGTTATCCAATATTCTGTATGGATATAATTGGGAAATGATATCTATATCTTTAAAATCAGTAAAATAACTTTGTATAAGTATTTTAGTAAATAGGAGTAGTAGTTTTAAATAGTGTACCTAAGACTATCAGGCCACATAATTTCAGTCAAATTAAAGTAGATTTCAATGGTTATCAAAACAGCAAGAGTTTTATAAATCGAGTTATGATCTTGGTTAGATTTAAAAGAATCGTAATTGGTAACAGTGGTGTGGCTACCAATATTACCTCTCGGTTTCATGCATCGTTAGATAACTATTGTTAGTGAGACTTGAGGACTAAGCTACCTGAAATACTAGTATTTTAGCAACTTGCCTGTTTATCCTAAAAAGACCTAAAAAGTGTGCAGCACGGACTCCTAACCGTGAGTTACGTTCCGCCGGTTAATGGTGGCCCGGCTTAGTGGCTCCCGGTTTAAATGGCCCAAGTTTACGGAACGGAAGCTAGACGAGCACGGACGGACGGACGGACGGACGGAGACGGTGACTGCCACACGTGGAAGCCGAAGGAGTTGCGGGCTGTTAAAATGATTAATGACGTGTGTGTGGCATGCACGTTAACGCCCTCGCGAGGTTAGGAGGAGGAAGTTACCGGGACAGATGTTGTCATAAATAAAAAGAAGCTGAAAGGAAGATGAAGATGCCCGTGGGGGGTGGACGGTGGGTGGTGGGTGCTGGGATGTGGGTGGTGGGTGGTGGCAACATGTAAATAAACATACATGTGTGCGCAGTTATTTATGCATGTGTGGGCGAGTCTGTTTGGGGCACATTAATGTCAAATCAGCCGCATAAATTGCGTAAAACGCTCAATTTATTAAACGAAGCGTGCTCGATGGAGGCGGGGGCGTGGCCGTGACAAGTGTATTTGCGAGTTAATAAATGTCGCAATCACTGGGGAGCATTCCGCGAGTCCACCTCAGGAAGGGAGGAAGCCGACTGCATAGTTAGGTGGGACCTTCGACGCCTGGCGCATCCTTTCGCTGAAGCGTCCTTCAGCACGAGGACGAGGATTTGCGTCCTCCAACGGCCCACTCTACGCCTCAAGTGGCAATTGTTCAATTCAGAAATTGCCATCAATCGATTTGGCTTATTGTGCCGGAATCGTGGCGTTTCGGAGGAATAGTGACAAAGGCAATCAGAACAGCGTAGATTCAGATATGCCTGGCCAAAGGGCTCATAAAAATTTTAAATCGCTTTCGCCACAAAGTGGCCATCTAAGTCGACCTGTCGGTTACTCTGTACTCCAGAAGGCCACCAAAGATGGGGGAGGATGTACGAAAGTGGTGACATACATTTGGCCAAAATTAGCTATTTTTAAATATATTTTAGTCAATAAATTCGTGTTGAAAAATATTTTAATATTAAAATATATTATATTAACAGATCATTTAATGTGGAAAATATACTTTGGCCAAAGCCGCTATCCTTAATCAAACTGTTCTTCAGAAATCTTATCTATCGGTAGCCAGCTTTGAAATTTAGCTTTAACTTTTAGCGAGCTAAGGGCAACTACAAGTCGGGTATTCCCCCGATTTGCTTCGGATTTGCTTGTTTCGCGTTTTGTTTCGCTCTCGTTTTGCAATTGCACGGAGCTCGGGGGGCGGAGGACGGAGGACAGAGGACAGAGGACGAAGGACGTGCCCGGCTCTCTGTCTTCGCATGTGTGTGTAGGTGTCAAGGGTGCTGTTGTCCTGGCCGGGAAATCCCCACCCTGGGCGGGATTGCATATTTTGCTGCCTCACGAACATGAGCGCTCGTTAAACGGATGAGTTAAAAGTCAAAAGCCCTAAAGGATTTTATTTGAATTGCGGTCTGCGCCGCGCCGTTCGACGTCTCTCCTCCGGGAGCATTGCCTCCTGCCCTCAAATCCTGGCACCCCTTCCAATCCTTCGCCCTTTGTGTGCCATGTTTTATTTAAAGTTTATCTTCGCAGTCCCTTTTGCCCTGCTCCGCCTGCTCCTTGGTCCTTGGTCCTTGCTTCACGCTAATTTCGCGCCAAGGCAAGGCAGTAAAAAATATGCGGAAAATAAAATGTGGAAAAATATTTTGGCGCAAGATGGAGAACAAAAGGGTTTCGTCGGCACGTCGACGTTTCAAAGCCGTGTTGAAAAATATTTGAAATAATTGCAAAAATGTTTTTCCATCAGCAGCAGCCGCTCAGACAGGATATCGCCAGGAGAGGGAGTGAAGGGGCTTACCGCCCTTTGCGGGGGCTTGTCTTACAAAGGAAAGCCCCCTTTGCTAGTTCATGCAAAGCACGTCCTTCAACTGGAGCATACGAGTGTGGCGTAAGAGACCTGATCCTTGTATCCCTGGCAAAGTAAGCGTGTCCTTATTAAATCTCAAATATAATATGGGCTCTTGCATGTCTAGAAGGAGACCCTGTGACCCACCCATCTCCCCCAGCATGTCCGAGCCGGCACGGACCACTGAAGAGCTGTGCTCCCCCATATCGAACGACGAAATCTCCAACTCCTCTACCATGTCCACTGCCCTTGACTTGATCCACACTGGTTGTGTGCCCCTCCTGGAACGTACTGCCACGGACCTAGAGCCGCTGCCAAAGAAGGAGCTAGGAGCAAATACCCAGGTAGTGAAAGGATCGGAGGCACGACCAGAAGCAGGATCAGAGACACTACCAGAAGCAGGATCAGATGCACAACCACAAGCAGGTTCAGAATCACGGCCAGATCCAGTACCAGATCCAGCAGTACCTTATTCAGCACCAGATCGAGCACCTGACTCAGTACCTGACACAGTATTTCATGCAGCAACACATCCAGCACATGACGCAGTACCTGATTCAGTACCAGATCAAACACCCGACTCGGTACCTGATTCAGCACCTGTCGCAGTATCTGATTCAGCACCAGGTTCAGCACCTGATACAGCACCAGATCCAGCACAGGATCCAGCAAAAGATACAGCACCTGATGCTGTTCCTAATGCAACAACACATCCAGCACCTGACGTAGAACCAGATCAAGCACCTGATTCAGCACCTGATCCAGCACCTGATTCAGCACCTGATCCAGCACCTGACGCAGTACCTGATTCAGCACCAGATCCCGCACCAGATCCACCACCAGATCCACCACCAGATCCACCATCTGAACCACAGCCGGAAGCAGGAGCAGAAGCCACACCAGAGACGCCCAAAGCCAACCCGGAAGGCCAAGCCACACTTGAGTCGCCAATGATCTCGATCAGCGCTCAAATGTCCCCGGATGCGCCGGTCTTCTATCCAATGGGCACCTGTTTCGCACGCATCTTGGACAATGAAGAGGAGCCCCTCCCGCGCATGTCGTCGAGGAGCGCATTCGAGTTTGGTCTCGAGAACGGAACCGGCCCATACATTGGCCCAGGAGGTGATATTCCCCGAAGCTATCAGTTCGTGAACCCCGAAAGCGGCGAGCGCAACTGCAACAGCTTCGGGTTGGGCATGAGGCGCAGCAGTACCACTATTGATAGTCAGGAGACCGACGAACAGCAACCGGATCCCTCCACACCCTGGACAGCCTACTACTACGGCAGGTCGGGGGCGGCCGAGGAGCCTTCATTTGCCAGACCCAACAACAGTTGCACCGCCGAATTTGTCGCGGAGTCATCTATGAGCGGATCCTCCCCAGAGTTCCCGTCCTTCGAGTCCTTCGCCGCGCAGCTGGACGATATCGGGTTGGCGCGCGACGAGTTCATGGCCACGCTGCGCAACCTTTTGATACGGGCCAACGACCTGATGGCGCCCCTCCTTCGAGGGGCCTTCCAGCACATGACGCCCATCCAGATGGCCGAGTACACCACCGCCATTCTCGAGACGCCGCCCCTGCATCCGAGTCTCTTCATGCCGGCGGTAAGATTTAGAACTTGAGTGCCGAACTCCTCCCTGACATTCTGACCTCTCCCGCAGAACGTGCCGCGTCCCTGGACGGGCGTTACTGGAATCAACCTGCCCTTCGACCTCCATCCGCACAGCCTCACGCCCGACGATCTGACCCGCATACAGGTAAGTCAGGTGCTTTTCGAGGGCAGGTGTCACTGGCTCCACCGCCGCAATCCCCGCAGGCAATGCCCAAGGCAGTGAACGCCGCCACCCAGACGGAGTACCGATGCATGTGCATGCTCATCGCGTCGGGGGGATCTGTGCCAGCGCCTGCGCCCGTAGCGCCGACCTACTTCCAAGGACCGACACCCATCAACGGACCCCGGATGACGGTGCCTGGCGGAGGACCCAGTGGATCCGGTGGAACGAGGGCTCCACAGTCGTATCCACCCATGTCGGCGCCAGGATCTTCACAGAACGTACCACCACCACAGCCACCACCACAGCAGTTTGGCTTCTGGGCCAGGCCCGTGCGTAAGTATTCTTTGAGTAGCGATGCTCTGGACTGACCTACGACCTTAGCTGCATAATTATTTTCTCTCCAGCAATGCCGATGCATCCACACCAGGTCCCGCATCCGCCCCCGCATCGCATGCCCCGCCAACCTCATCCGCACGGCGCCTTTCCTCATAATCCGCCTCACCCGCATCCGGGAATGCAGCCGGGAACGCAGTCTGGAGTGCAGCCTGGAATGCAGCCGGGTCATCCAATGGCGCCGCATCACCCACAGGGTAGCAACCGTGGCTACCGCGCACCTGGTCCCTACAGTCCGCGCAACCATGCCAACCAGGGCCGCTATGGAGCCATAGGCAGCGGGCGTCCCAGCCAGAACAACGGTCGGAACTACCAGAACTCAAACTACCAGAACTCGAACTACCAGAACTCGAACTACCGTGGGCACCTCCTCTACGCTAGGCCAGGTGCCAGCCAGTCGATGGCTTCTGTCCCTCCCACTCCCGCTGGCAATCCGGCTCATACGATCGACCCGGGCATGCAGCAGAGATTCAATCTCGGATCGCAGGGTGGCAATGTGGCCGATGGAACAAGCACCACCGCCAGGCAGGAAGCTTCTAACTCGTCGCCCACGGAGTCCTCCGCCACCGAGAACTCTAGTCCCCGCTCGCAGATCGGGAATGCTGATTCGGGGCGCCAGGGAAGCGAGGAGAGCAGCTACGCGGAGGAGGACACCGACGAGGACGACGCCGAGGGGGAGGAAGAGGAAGAGGAAGAGGACGAGGAGGAGGGCACCGATGAAGACGACGACGAGGAGGAAGAGGAGGATGAGGACAGTGAAGAGCAGAGTGCCGAGGGTCCGGCTACAGAAGGAGGAGGAGCCGCTGGTCAAGGAGACGACATGGAGCACCAGCCACCCAGGCAGTCTGCATCTCCCGATCCCCGGTCGTACTGCTTCGGCGAGGTGGAGTTCATGAACTACGTCAATACGCCCATACTGCCCGGTCCCGGCCAGCAGAACTTCGGGGCCACCTACATGGAGCACGGCCTACCGCAAGCCCCGCGCCCCAACGTGCCCTGCGCCCAGGTTTTGCCCCACGTCACGCCAAGCCACTTTCCAGGCTATCGCGCTGCTCCGGACCAGTTATCCCAGACATCTCAGCCATATCGGCCATCTCAACCATCTCAGACATCCCAGCCATCCCAGGCAATGCCCTTGATGCCAGGAAGCAGCTTCTTGCCAAATGCAGTCCCCGCCGGAGTCCCAATGGGAGATGCCCAGTTCAAGGAGCCCTCAACGTCCCAGGAACAGTTTAATAACAACCAATTCAACCATGGCGGACCAGCCGTGTTCGGCCAACAGCGACCCAATCCCGACTACAATGCATCCATGCTGAGCGCAGAGTCGGGTTCCAGTGGCATATACTTGAGACCCGCCGGCCCCCAGCCCCAGGCCATCTATCCAATGCGGCAAGAGCGACCCATGGCCCCGATCCTGTTCGAGGTGGGCGGCAATCGCAGCCAAGGCGCCGGTTCGCCAATAATGATGCAGAGCGTCAATGGCAATGTGGGTCTTATGAATGCCCACGGACACGGGCATGGACGCGGTCGTGGTTCTAGTCGCGGCCCCCAGGGCCACAATCTTTATGGTCAGATAAACCCCCAGCCCCATCAAAACCACCAAAACCACCTGCCCCACCAAAACATGTCCTATAACGGCAACATGGGCCAGAACATGATGTCTCCGCAACTGCGCAGCGGTCCGGTTCAGGTCAACCCCATAAGCACAATGGGGAGGGGCATGAACATGGGCGTCGGACTGCTGCCCCTACCGGTGCAGATGCTAAGTCCAAACCGGATGGTGCAGCCCAACATGCAGCAGGGTATGCAGCAGCCCAACATGCCACAAGGAATGTCACAAATAATGCAACAAGGAATGCAACAAGGAATGCAACAAGGATTGCAACAAGGAATGCAACAAGGAATGCCACAAGGAATGTCACAAGGAATGTCACAAGGAATGCCACAAGTAATGCCACAAGTAATGCCACAAGTAGTGCCACAAGTAGTGCCACAAGTAGTGCCACAAGTAGTGCCACAAGTAATGCAACAAATAATGCCGCAAGTAATGCAACAACTAATGCCACAAGGAATCCCTCAAGGAATGCCTCAAGGAATGCCTCAAGGAATATCACAAGGAATATCACAAGGAATATCACATGGAATATCACAAGGAATACCACAAGGATTGCCCCAGGGATTGCCTCAAGGAATGCCCCAAGGAATGCCTCAAGGAATGCCTCAAGGATTGCCACAAGGAATGCCACAAGGAATGCCACAAGGAATGCCCCAGGGAATGCATCTGGGAACGCCTCAGGAAATGCCTCAGGGAATGCCTCAGGGAATGCCCCAGGGAATGCCCCAGGGAATGCCCCAGGGAATGCCCCAGGGAATGCATCAAGGAATGCCCCAGGGTATACCCCAACCCAATATGCAACAGGGAACACCAATGAACATCCCGCCGCCCAACCGCATGAGTCCTTGCCACAATCCCAACGCGATACCTAACTTCCATCTGAATGGCCAAAACCCTGAGATCAACAGGATGCCGCCAATGGACGGCGCAGCTGGACGAGTCAATGCCGCCAATGGCGAGATGAACCAACAAATGAGGGCTGCTCCCGCCTCCGTACCCGTTCCAGTTCCTGCTCCCGTCACCGCCCCCAGCCCCGATCCTCGACAGAATTTTGCAGCCAATATGGTTAACAAGCCACGGCCGACCACTTTAAGTAACCCCGGGTCGAGGGTGTCATCGCCAGCCGCTCCGAGACCCAATCATCCACCCGGAACCCCAGCTCCGGAAGAGACTCCCAACCAGCCGAAGATCACCCAGCCATCCTACGCATCCCTGCTGCAGTAAAAGCATCTTACGTGATTTCTATACAACTACCTCCATCGTCTTCCGGCCACCATTTAAATTATATGTAACCTACGTTCCTTTTTTTTCTGGTCAAATAAATTAAACACACCATGCACACAAAAACCATTTGCTCTAGTCTAGTACCTCGACTATTAGATACCCGTTACTCAGCTAAAGGTTACCAAAGGGAAATGGAAATATGCAAGCAGCAAAGCGAGATTGAAATGCGCCACCTACCCGCGATCTCAATTTATGGTTATGTGGGCGGTGGACTGATTTAATCGATATGGGCGTTTGAGTGGGCGGGGCAAACTTTTTTTTGGGTCAACCGATAGGTATTGAGACTAATACATTTCAGTCAACATTTTTTATCTAGCATGAAAATTGTGGGCGCCACAGGCTTGGGCGCTTTGTGGGCTTTAGAATGGGCGTGGGCGCTGCGTACAAGGCTACGGAATGGATATCTGAAATCCCAATCCTCTATCTTTTACAGTCTCCGAGATATCCGCGTTCATACTTACGATTTTTTAAAGTTTGTGGGCGGTTAGTGGGCGTGAAAGTGGGCGTGTCCAACTTTTTTTGGTCAATCGATAGCTATTGATGAGAATAATACATTTCAGTTAAAATTTTTATTCTAGCATCAAAACTGTAGGAGCCACAGTTTTGGGCGGCTTGTGGGCGTTAGAGTGGGCGTGGCACCTTGCTGAAACAAACTTGCGCTGCGCAAGAAGCTCAGAAATCTGCATGCCAAATCCCAATAGCCTAGCAATTATAGTTTCCGTTCTCAGCGTTCATACGGACGGACGGACATGGCTAAATCGACTCGGCTAGTGATCCTGATCAAGAATATATATACTTTATGGGGTCGGAAACGCTTCCCTTTTAATCTACGAGTACGGACCTTGCAGGTCGTTCCCGTGGGAGTGCGAGAGGGAGTGAGATATGCTTAAAGCTACTCTTCTTTTTTCACTAACACACCGAACCTAAAGCGCCACCTATATTCTTTTTCTATTAGTGAAAACAGCTTACTTGCTGCATGTGGTATGCATTCTCGATTGAATTGCAAAATATTGATTATTATTTGGTTATAACTTTTTAGTTACTGGTCAATCGGACCAAACTCTCATTTAAAATTTTACAAAATATTGAAAAATTTTGGCGATAGACGGGTTTTAGTGTTATAGTCGTTTGTGGGCGTTAGAATGGGCGTGGAACCCTGCTGAAATAAGCTTGCGATGCGCAGGAAGGCCAAGGATCTGCTTGCCAAGTCCCAACACTCTTTCTCTTATAGTTTCCGAGATCTCAGCGCTCATACGGACAGACGGACATAGCTAGATCGACTTGGATAGTGATCCCAATCATTAATATATATTTTTTATGGGATCGAAAATGCTTCCTTCTTCCTGTTACATACTTTCCGACGAATCTAGTATACCATCTCTCTCTGCGAGTAACGGGTATAATTATTTGAACGTGGCTTGGTCTCTTCTGAGAAAATCAATTGGTATCACACATAAGACACCATCTTAAGCAAGCGCGGTTTTTCGATATCCACTTCTAAAAACCGCGTGTTCTTAGATGGCAAAAAATGCATTACTTTTGGCAAAACTAATGCTACTGGAAAAATATTTCAATACAAATGAAAAATATGCTTATGATTATTTTCCATTTAAAAATATAATGGTAATAAAAAATTGTATGACTAAATAGAAAATTAATTCAACGTAGCTAAGCTTAAGCTTGCGTAATGTTATCACACATAAGACACCTTGGATACATATGGTCATCTTAAGAATTTGTGATTTTAAAAGCCAATAGTGTGTTGTAATAAATGTAACATAAAACATAAGTAAGTAATAGGTCAAAATTATTTGTGTTATTCACATAATAAGATACGATACATCCACAAACTCTATGTAGAGTGCCATGACTTTCCATTCGTTCGAACTTGGGGGTACCATGTCTAGAAAGTTTCATTTCTGTGCTGGTTTTCCAACAGTTCATATCAATTTTTCCTTACTCGTTTTACACCAGCAAAGAAACCAAAATTTTACGCAGTGATAATTTTTACAAAAACCGACATATTTTAGTGTGAGTTTTTCCAAGGTGAGTCTAAGATTTGTATACCCGTTACTCGTAGAGTAAAAGGGTATACTAGATTCGTAAAAAAGTTTGTAACGGGTAAGGAAGCGTTTTCGACTCTATAAAGTATATATATTATTGATCAGGATCACTAGACATGTCCGTAATTCCGTATGTGTGTTCATCCGTATAAACGCTGTGACCTCGGGAACTACAAAAGCTATAAAGTTGGGATTAGGCATGCAGATTTTAGAGATTATTACGCACCGCAATTTTTTCAGCAATGCATAGCTTTCGTCAATACCAATCACTTGAAAAAAAAAACTTTGCGACGCCCACTTTAAAGCCCACTAGCTTTACAAAATCATAATTATGAACGCGGATATATCGGAAACTATAACAGATAGAGAATTGGGGCTTCAGATTTAGATTCCGAATAGTTCATTTTTTCATATACTAGCTTTGTAAATACATAAAATGTTCTAGTTCTTTTACAATAAAATAAAATTATTTTACGTATTCTACAGGATTTTCCTGTCGTTTATCAGATCTGGGTTCTGTTTCTCCATTAGTGCAAAAATGCTGCACAAGGACTCCCTGGACCAGGGAGTCCTTGTGCAGCATGTTTGCACTAATGGAGAAGCAGAACCCACTCCCGCTGGCAATCCGGTTCATACGATCGACCCGGGCATGCAGCAGAGATTCAATCTCGGATCGCAGGGTGGCAATGTGGCCGATGGAACAAGCACCACCGCCAGGCAGGAAGCTTCGGACTCGTCGCCCACGGAGTCCTCCGCCACCGAGAACTCTAGTCCCCGCTCGCAGATCGGGAATGCTGATTCGGGTCGCCAGGGAAGCGAGGAGAGCAGCTACGCACAAGTAATGCAACAAATAATGCCGCAAGTAATGCAACAACTAATGCCACAAGGAATCCCTCAAGGAATGCCTCAGGGAATGCCCCAGGGAATGCCCCAGGGAATGCATCAAGGAATGCCCCAGGGTATCCCCCAACCCAATATGCAGCAGGGAACACCAATGAACATCCCGCCGCCCAACCGCATGAGTCCTTGCCACAATCCCAACGCGATACCTAACTTCCATCCGAATGGCCAAAACCCTGAGATCAACAGGATGCCGCCAATGGACGGCGCAGCTGGACGAGTCAATGCCGCCAATGGCGAGATGAACCAACAAATGAGGGCTGCTCCCGCCCCCGTACCCGTTCCAGTTCCTGCTCCCGTCACCGCCCCCAGCCCCGATCCTCGACAGAATTTTGCAGCCAATATGGTTAACAAGCCACGGCCGACCACTTCAAGTAACCCCGGGTCGAGGGTGTCATCGCCAGCCGCTCCGAGACCCAATCATCCACCCGGAACCCCAGCTCCGGAAGAGACTCCCAACCAGCCGAAGATCACCCAGCCATCCTACGCATCCCTGCTGCAGTAAAAGCATCTTACGTGATTTCTATACAACTACCTCCATCGTCTTCCGGCCACCATTTAAATTATATGTAACCTACGTTCCTTTTTTTTCTGGTCAAATAAATTAAACACACCATGCACACAAAAACCATTTGCTCTAGTCTAGTACCTCGACTATTAGATACCCGTTACTCAGCTAAAGGGACCAAAGGGAAATGGAAATATGCAAGCAGCAAAGCGAGATTGAAATGCGCCACCTACCCGCGATCTCAATTTATGGTTATGTGGGCGGTGGACTGATTTAATCGATATGGGCGTTTGAGCGGGCGGGGCAAACTTTTTTTTGGGTCAACCGATAGGTATTGAGACTAATACATTTCAGTCAACATTTTTTATCTAGCATGAAAATTGTGGGCGCCACAGGCTTGGGCGCTTTGTGGGCTTTGTGGGCTTTAGAATGGGCGTGGGCGCTGCGTACAAGGCTACGGAATGGATATCTGAAATCCCAATCCTCTATCTTTTACAGTCTCCGAGATATCCGCGTTCATACTTACGATTTTTTAAAGTTTGTGGGCGGTTAGTGGGCGTGAAAGTGGGCGTGTCCAACTTTTTTTGGTCAATCGATAGCTATTGATGAGAATAATACATTTCAGTTAAAATTTTTATTCTAGCATCAAAACTGTAGGAGCCACAGTTTTGGGCGGCTTGTGGGCGTTAGAGTGGGCGTGGCACCTTGCTGAAACAAACTTGCGCTGCGCAAGAAGCTCAGAAATCTGCATGCCAAATCCCAATAGCCTAGCAATTATAGTTTCCGAAATCTCAGCGTTCATACGGACGGACGGACATGGCTAAATCGACTCGGCTAGTGATCCTGATCAAGAATATATATACTTTATGGGGTCGGAAACGCTTCCCTTTTAATCTACGAGTACGGACCTTGCAGGTCGTTCCCGTGGGAGTGCGAGAGGGAGTGAGATATGCTTAAAGCTACTCTTCTTTTTTCACTAACACACCGAACCTAAAGCGCCACCTATATTCTTTTTCTATTAGTGAAAACAGCTTACTTGCTGCATGTGGTATGCATTCTCGATTGAATTGCAAAATATTGATTATTATTTGGTTATAACTTTTTAGTTACTGGTCAATCGGACCAAACTCTCATTTAAAATTTTACAAAATATTGACAAATTTTGGCGATAGACGGGTTTTAGTGTTATAGTCGTTTGTGGGCGTTAGAATGGGCGTGGAACCCTGCTGAAATAAGCTTGCGATGCGCAGGAAGGCCAAGGATCTGCTTGCCAAGTCCCAACACTCTTTCTCTTATAGTTTCCGAGATCTCAGCGCTCATACGGACAGACGGACATAGCTAGATCGACTTGGCTAGTGATCCCAATCATTAATATATATTTTTTATGGGATCGAAAATGCTTCCTTCTTCCTGTTACATACTTTCCGACGAATCTAGTATACCATCTCTCTCTGCGAGTAACGGGTATAAATATTTGAACGTGGCTTGGTCTCTTCTGAGAAAATCAATTGGTATCACACATAAGACACCATCTTAAGCAAGCGCGGTTTTTCGATATCCACTTCTAAAAACCGCGTGTTCTTAGATGGCAAAAAATGCATTACTTTTGGCAAAACTAATGCTACTGGAAAAATATTTCACTACAAATGAAAAATATGCTTATGATTATTTTCCATTTAAAAATATAATGGTAATAAAAAATTGTATGACTAAATAGAAAATTAATTCAACGTAGCTAAGCTTAAGCTTGCGTAATGTTATCACACATAAGACACCTTGGATACATATGGACATCTTAAGAATTTGTGATTTTAAAAGCCAATAGTGTGTTGTAATAAATGTAACATAAAACATAAGTAAGTAATAGGTCAAAATTATTTGTGTTATTCACATAATAAGATACGATACATCCACAAACTCTATGTAGAGTGCCATGACTTTCCATTCGTTCGAACTTGGGGGTACCATGTCTAGAAAGTTTCATTTCTGTGCTGGTTTTCCAACAGTTCATATCAATTTTTCCTTACTCGTTTTACACCAGCAAAGAAACCAAAATTTTACGCAGTGATAATTTTTACAAAAACCGACATATTTTAGTGTGAGTTTTTCCAAGGTGAGTCTAAGATTTGTATACCCGTTACTCGTAGAGTAAAAGGGTATACTAGATTCGTAAAAAAGTTTGTAACGGGTAAGGAATCGTTTTCGACTCTATAAAGTATATATATTATTGATCAGGATCACTAGACATGTCCGTAATTCCGTATGTCTGTTCATCCGTATAAACGCTGTGACCTCGGGAACTACAAAAGCTATAAAGTTGGGATTAGGCATGCAGATTCTAGAGATTATTACGCACCGCAATTTTTTCAGCAATGCATAGCTTTCGTCAGTACCAATCACTTGAAAAAAAAAACTTTGCGACGCCCACTTTAAAGCCCACTAGCTTTACAAAATCATAATTATGAACGCGGATATATCGGAAACTATAACAGATAGAGAATTGGGGCTTCAGATTTAGATTCCGAATAGTTCATTTTTTCATATACTAGCTTTGTAAATACATAAAATGTTCTAGTTCTTTTACAATAAAATAAAATTATTTTACGTATTCTACAGGATTTTCCTGTCGTTTATCAGATCTGGGTTCTGTTTCTCCATTAGTGCAAAAATGCTGCACAAGGACTCCCTGGACCAGGGAGTCCTTGTGCAGCATGTTTGCACTAATGGAGAAGCAGAACCCACTCCCGCTGGCAATCCGGTTCATACGATCGACCCGGGCATGCAGCAGAGATTCAATCTCGGATCGCAGGGTGGCAATGTGGCCGATGGAACAAGCACCACCGCCAGGCAGGAAGCTTCGGACTCGTCGCCCACGGAGTCCTCCGCCACCGAGAACTCTAGTCCCCGCTCGCAGATCGGGAATGCTGATTCGGGTCGCCAGGGAAGCGAGGAGAGCAGCTACGCACAAGTAATGCAACAAATAATGCCGCAAGTAATGCAACAACTAATGCCACAAGGAATCCCTCAAGGAATGCCTCAGGGAATGCCCCAGGGAATGCCCCAGGGAATGCATCAAGGAATGCCCCAGGGTATCCCCCAACCCAATATGCAACAGGGAACACCAATGAACATCCCGCCGCCCAACCGCATGAGTCCTTGCCACAATCCCAACGCGATACCTAACTTCCATCCGAATGGCCAAAACCCTGAGATCAACAGGATGCCGCCAATGGACGGCGCAGCTGGACGAGTCAATGCCGCCAATGGCGAGATGAACCAACAAATGAGGGCTGCTCCCGCCCCCGTACCCGTTCCAGTTCCTGCTCCCGTCACCGCCCCCAGCCCCGATCCTCGACAGAATTTTGCAGCCAATATGGTTAACAAGCCACGGCCGACCACTTCAAGTAACCCCGGGTCGAGGGTGTCATCGCCAGCCGCTCCGAGACCCAATCATCCACCCGGAACCCCAGCTCCGGAAGAGACTCCCAACCAGCCGAAGATCACCCAGCCATCCTACGCATCCCTGCTGCAGTAAAAGCATCTTACGTGATTTCTATACAACTACCTCCATCGTCTTCCGGCCACCATTTAAATTATATGTAACCTACGTTCCTTTTTTTTCTGGTCAAATAAATTAAACACACCATGCACACAAAAACCATTTGCTCTAGTCTAGTACCTCGACTATTAGATACCCGTTACTCAGCTAAAGGGACCAAAGGGAAATGGAAATATGCAAGCAGCAAAGCGAGATTGAAATGCGCCACCTACCCGCGATCTCAATTTATGGTTATGTGGGCGGTGGACTGATTTAATCGATATGGGCGTTTGAGTGGGCGGGGCAAACTTTTTTTTGGGTCAACCGATAGGTATTGAGACTAATACATTTCAGTCAACATTTTTTATCTAGCATGAAAATTGTGGGCGCCACAGGCTTGGGCGCTTTGTGGGCTTTAGAATGGGCGTGGGCGCTGCGTACAAGGCTACGGAATGGATATCTGAAATCCCAATCCTCTATCTTTTACAGTCTCCGAGATATCCGCGTTCATACTTACGATTTTTTAAAGTTTGTGGGCGGTTAGTGAGCGTGAAAGTGGGCGTGTCCAACTTTTTTTGGTCAATCGATAGCTATTGATGAGAATAATACATTTCAGTTAAAATTTTTATTCTAGCATCAAAACTGTAGGAGCCACAGTTTTGGGCGGCTTGTGGGCGTTAGAGTGGGCGTGGCACCTTGCTGAAACAAACTTGCGCTGCGCAAGAAGCTCAGAAATCTGCATGCCAAATCCCAATAGCCTAGCAATTATAGTTTCCGAAATCTCAGCGTTCATACGGACGGACGGACATGGCTAAATCGACTCGGCTAGTGATCCTGATCAAGAATATATATACTTTATGGGGTCGGAAACGCTTCCCTTTTAATCTACGAGTACGGACCTTGCAGGTCGTTCCCGTGGGAGTGCGAGAGGGAGTGAGATATGCCTAAAGCTACTCTTCTTTTTTCACTAACACACCGAACCTAAAGCGCCACCTATATTCTTTTTCTATTAGTGAAAACAGCTTACTTGCTGCATGTGGTATGCATTCTCGATTGAATTGCAAAATATTGATTATTATTTGGTTATAACTTTTTAGTTACTGGTCAATCGGACCAAACTCTCATTTAAAATTTTACAAAATATTGACAAATTTTGGCGATAGACGGGTTTTAGTGTTATAGTCGTTTGTGGGCGTTAGAATGGGCGTGGAACCCTGCTGAAATAAGCTTGCGATGCGCAGGAAGGCCAAGGATCTGCTTGCCAAGTCCCAACACTCTTTCTCTTATAGTTTCCGAGATCTCAGCGCTCATACGGACAGACGGACATAGCTAGATCGACTTGGCTAGTGATCCCAATCATTAATATATATTTTTTATGGGATCGAAAATGCTTCCTTCTTCCTGTTACATACTTTCCGACGAATCTAGTATACCATCTCTCTCTGCGAGTAACGGGTATAATTATTTGAACGTGGCTTGGTCTCTTCTGAGAAAATCAATTGGTATCACACATAAGACACCATCTTAAGCAAGCGCGGTTTTTCGATATCCACTTCTAAAAACCGCGTGTT